GCTACAGTGTTACGCAGGACTTGTAGGTAGCGGTTTTCCCTGTAAGGTCGCGTAAGAGATGACAACAGGAGACAAAGGTACACTATTTATTCTTTTCATTCCAATATTTACTCTCTTCCAACTCAGCGGAATTGTGGTGCAAAACACTTAGCTACTGCTGTGATTGGCCAATGAAATATAAATTAAATTATGCGACAGTATAATTCTCGAGTTTGTCTGCAAGGTGAAGTGACACCGAGAGAGACTTTCGTAGTGGTAATTTTTGTTCTATTTTAATTTCTTGTCAGGGAAGTCGCGGAGTTACCGGAGCCGTCGGAAGTCCTGGAGTTCCTGGAGCTATGGTTTGTAGAAAGAACAATAACGAAATAGGAGAACAAACTGAACTACTTACCACATTTTACCTTCAAATAACGTCACCGTGTAGATTTGTTCAGTACGCCCGTTGGTCCGGACACACTTGCTCATGCTAAATATGCAACGACAGCGTTCAACTCCAAAAGAAAATACGACAAAATTACCCGTCGCGGTTCACGTTCTCCAAAATACGCAGAACTTGGTCATTTCACGTTGTTGTTTTGCAGAAGACGGTCAAGAAATGTACCAATGTTGAAAACGTACCTGCAGAACCATTGTTTTGCTCATTAGAACCTTTTGTTTAAAGACGTTCTCGTTTGGGTCGCCGTCGTGGTTTTGCTGTATTTTAACCCTGAGGAGTATCAAGGCCCCGTCCACACTAGGCCGCAGGAATTTGAAAACGGAAGTTTCACTCTGAAAACGCATCAAATGTTTTCCGTCCACACTACGCCGGAGAATTTTAAAAAAACGCAACAATCAGCGGTCGTTTTGCATTCGTGTTTGAAGAAAACACGGGTAGGGACATACATGATTTTCGTGAGGTCATCGTTTTCAAAATGAACACTGCTTTCATTGTGTTTCCTGTCTACACGAAAACGAAAAGCCGGTGTGGTTTTCAAATAACTCCGGTTTGAAGAGCGTTTTCGAAAAGCTCCGTTTTCGTGACGGATTAGTGTGGACAACAGGCCTGACCGTAGAAATAGTGTTGCGTTTTCAAATTCCTTCGTCGTAGTGGGGCCTGTGCCTGTAGTCAAGAACCCAAGGTACAGTAAGGTAAGGTTTTGTTATCCCTTGCAATGCTCGTTTTTTTAAACTTAATTTTATGCTCTTTCCAGGGCCCAGCTGGTCCGCAAGGTGCTATTGGACTGCCTGGAAGTCCAGGCGAAAAGGTAAATTTGCCTTTCTTAAGAGGTGCACTGTTATGGCAATGAAAACTAACCTACGTCAATAGCAACTGCATGCACGAGGTCACAAATTCTCAAACTCATTTAAAAAGTCATCAAGTTTAAAACCCTGGTCCAACGGCGCATGATAGTGGATGATAGTTGATTCTTCCCTAACTGTCATCAACTCAGTGTCATTCACCTGGTCAAATGGCCAGATGAAGTTCGTGATAGTTGGCGCTAGTTCACTGACAGTTACGCAAGCAAAGTCGCCTGAGCATGTAGTGCCAGGCTCGCTCCTTTCGCGTGAAGATGTTAGAGAGTGGCAGCTTGTTTTATTGAGATCGTTTGCTGGAGGAATGCACGGAAGACTAGAGAGAGAGCGTTGGCGGAAGAGATGACAGAAAGGAGAATAAAAAGGAGAGACGAGAGCGGGTTAAATTGGTGGAAGAAGTGCTAGTGGAAGACACTGCCGGGTACAAGAAAATGTTACGGATGAACTGTGCAACATTTGAGAAAATATTGACCGCTATTTTAAACGAGTCCGACGATTTTCGGGGAAGAGAGCTGACCCGAAAGCTAGCGTGGTCAAACAGGAAAAACTATCATCACTTTTCATGTTTGAAGAAGCTCAAAGTTAATGGTAGCTGATGATAGTCGATGATCGTACATAATGATGCAAGTGCGCTATAACTCTTATCTGCTCTCATCAACTATCAAGCGCCTTTTGACCAAGGCTTAACCGTGACGGTGATTGGCTGTATGGCCTTAATTTGCGTAGATTTTTTACAATTTTATTTCTCTGTTTTCCCTTTAAGTATCCATTGAGAATGTATATCAAACGTTTGACCGCATTTCCAAGAACCTAGGAGTTCGTCAAAAATACTCGGCTATGCGTCATGTATTTACTTCTATTCTCGGTGTTTGGAGATGTAGTGAGACACAGTCTTTCGTGTTTTATGTATTATTTGAAATACTCAAATTCTGCTCTTTTGTTACTGATTTTTTTTCTCTTTCATTTCAACCAACCTCTGTCAAACTATACTTTGTGTAAGCAGAATAAGTGGTGCCAAAGGATTTACGTGTTAAAATATCCAATTTGGTATTTAACGAGGAATTTAAATCGGAAAGAAGCTCAGTCACGGTATTTTGGCCACGTACAAAATTACCTTTAAATTGAAGGAAACCTGAAAATAGTAGTTTGCTAAGATAGAAAAACACCAAAGAGATAGTAATAAACCGTAAAGAATCAAGGATGGTTAAGGACGGAGAAGATAAACACGGATAAGCGTGAAAGAGTTGCACTTAACAGGAATGTTGGCAAGTGTACTTGCCCAAGTTAGCCCCCCCTTTTTTTAATTTATTGCCAAACACTTATAATATTTACAATACATATATGTACATTACTTACAATTCTAAAACAACTACTCTATGCCAATGCCCAGCCATTGAATTATTTTATTGCAATCTCTTTCCAGGGTCTCAAAGGAGAGCAAGGTGACCTTGGAACAAGAGGAGAGGCCGGGGACATGGTAAGGAATATTTTTTGTAGGTATCTGTCCCTCATTGGAATGTCTTTTTTCCAAGAGTGGGCAGCATCCTACTCTTTCCCTGTGCAACACTGCAGAGAACATAAGTCAAAAAGTCGACAAGTCAGACAACGACAAGGACGATAACAATGATAGATCGTTTTGTGTTTTTATCCATCGACAGGATTTTTTTTTTTATTAAATCCATTTTGAAATCACTGGCTATCCTTGCAATCTGATTGGCTCTCAATGGTGCGATTTATTCACGAATCGCACTATTTTTTGCTCTA